GGTAGCCCGGGCCCTCGCTATTGTGAAGGATGGATGTGTGCCTGTACGTTGCCTCAACGTTGAAGACTGTGTGTTAACCGTCCCTGAGAATACCTTGCTGGCCGAAGTTTGTGTCCGAAGGGGATATTCCTCGACGGAAGAGCTTCACGCTATCGGCAGATAGGAGATCAGCCTGGACCTATGCTGTAGAGGTCCATCAAAGGGAGACCCCGACAGAGGAGTGGAACGGTCGAGTAATCATGGCCCGGATGGGGGTAAACTGCAAGATCCTGACTCCAGGACAACAGAAGTTGCTGGAAGACACCCTTTGGGAGTTTCAGGAGGCCTTCTCGAGACATGATGAGGACTTCGGGTGTGCCTCCACCATTGAACACGAAATCCCCACCGGCAATGCTGCACCGATCGGGGAACGTTACCGGCAAATCCCGCCTAACATGTACCAGGAGGTGAAGGATATGGTGGCCAGTATGTTGGAAAACCAGGTGATCCTGGAGAGTCAAAGTCCTTTGGCTGCTCCAGTAGTCTTGGTGTGGAAGAAAGATGGGAGTCTCCGTTTCTGCGTGGATTATCGGAAGTTGAATGCCCAGACCGTCCGGGATGCCTACCCCCTTCCGCGGATTGAGGAGTCGTTGTCTGCCCTGAGTCATGCGAAGTTCTTCTCGACTCTTGACCTGGCCAGTGGGTATTGGCAGGTACCGGTGGCCAAGAAGGACAAAGCGAAGACGGCCTTCATCCTACCTAGGGGTCTCTACGAGTTCAACCGGATGCCATTCGGCCTGTCCAATGCCCCGGGAACATTCCAGCGGTTGATGGAGCACTGTCTGAGAGATCTCAACTTCGAGTCTGTATTGATATACCTGGATGACGTAGTAGTGTTTGGGGTAGTAGTGTTTTTGAGAATCACCTCCAGAAACTGCGACAGGTCTTAGGACGGCTGCGAGACCATGGCCTCAAAGTCAAGCCCAAGAAGTGCCAACTGTTTCAACAGCAGATAGAGTATTTGGGGCATTTGGTCACCCAGGAGGGGGTAAAGCCAACCCCCGACAAGGTGGAGGCCATCCAGAAGTGGCTCCAGCCCAGTACACTACGAGAGGTGCGGGCGTTCATTGGACTGGCCGGCTACTACAGGAGGTTTATACCCAAGTTTGCTCATTTGATGGGCCTGTTAAATGAGTTATTGAGGGGCACTGCAGGGGGCCCAAAGAATCGCCCCATCGAGTGGGGACCCCGACAAGGGGCCTTTGAAGCAGTGAAGGGGGCGCTGATTAGTGCCCCGATTCTGGCTTATGTGGGGTTTGACACCCCATTCCTGCTGTACAGAGTGCCGATGAGGAGCTAGAGGACACTGAAACTCCTGACCTTGGTCGATTACCCATGTTCCCAGACATGGCACATTCAAGTGGGGTGGTGTCCGGGATGCCAATGATGCTGGGAAAGACGTTAGCTGATTGGGAGAGGGTCCAGGATAGCTGCCCGGACCTGTTGAAGGTGAAAGAATGGGTCCGGACCAAGATCTGTCCTCGGTCAGAAGAGCGGGGCTCGTCTGACGCCCGATGGCCAAAAGTTGTTGAGGCAGTGGGATAAGCTAACTGTTACCCAGGGCCTCCTGTGTCGGACCATATACTTACAGACAGAGTTGCAGTACTGGTGCCAGATTTTCATCCCCATGTCATTGGGACCGGAGGCTGCCCGGGCAGCCCATGAGAGGGGTGCCCATTTTGGGAGCGATAAAACATTTATGTGGCTCCAACGGCTCGTGTACTGTCCAGATTTGGCAGACATGGTGGCCGAGGCATGTCCTAGGTGTCGGCCCTGCGGGCTGAGTAAGAGTACTGAACAGCGGGCTCCTGTCCAGGCCATCCAGACATCAGCACCCCTAGAGCTCCTTATGATCGACTATGTACAGATTGGGTATTCTACCTCGGGACACTCTTACTGTCTAGTCATGACAGATCATTTCACAAAGTATGCGGTGGCTGTACCCACCAGAGACCAGACGGCAGAGTCGGCCGCTGAAGCGGTCTGCAAACACTTTATACAGGTGTTCGGGTGTCCACACAGAATACATTCGGACCAGGGGGCATGTTTTCAGGGTACTCTAATGAACGAGTTCTACCAACTGTATGGGGTCGAACGTTCCCCGCACCACCCCGTATCACCCCCAGGGAAACGGGGCATGCGAGCGGTTCAACCGCACCTTGCTCCAGATGCTGCGGACTCTGGAGGACCGCCAAAAGGCTCGGTGGCCCGAATACCTACCTGAACTGTTGTGGGCCTATAATAACAGGGTACACAGTACCACTGGATACTCCCCACATATGCTCATGTTTGGGAGGGCCGGACGGGAGATTGAAGATCTCCACATTCCCGATCTGATGGAGCCACCACCAAGAAATACTACCACATGGGCGCAAGAGCACCGCTGCCGGCTGAGAGCGATCCACAAGGTTGTGGGGGAGCGCCTTAGACAAGTGGTACACCCCAATCCAAGACCAGTGCAGAAGGAAGGGTATGCCCCGCGTGATCGAGTGATAGTCAAAGCCAAGCGGCCATCTGGAAAGTTGGATGGGTGGTGGGAGGCGGTCCCATATAAGGTGAAGAGGAGGGTAAACCCTGCCATCCCGGTCTATGAGGTAGAGCTAATAGGGACTGGGGGGCCCTCACAAAACTTGCACCGTAACATGTTGAGGCGTTGTAATTTTGATGAACCAGTGTGCGTGGAGGGGATGGCTCCTCCTGCTCAGAGTACAGGGGAAATCCCCTTAGAGGAGTGGGAGGAATGGTGGGTTGTCCCTGCCCCGGTACCCTCAGAGGCTCCAACCATAGTAAGTTTGCCACCAAGGGAAAGTGTTGAGCGGTCAGCAGCCCCTCTCCCATTAAATGTGCCTGACACCTCCAGTGCTTCTGAACCTGTCACTCTACGAAGGTCAACAAGGCCTAATGCTGGTGTGCCCCCACAGCGTTATGCCAGAATGAGTTTGTATGGGGAGGGTTGCCAAGGACGACAACCTCTAGTGGGGTGGCATTTGAAATGGGGAAACAGCTTTCATTGTTTGAACACTGATTGAAGTAAATTAAAAACGTTCTGACTGACATTCTGCAGTTTAGCCACAAGATATCGCTGTTTTGTTCTAACACAGCCTCAGACTGCATAGAGATTTCTTTATTCATGAAGGGGTGGGGTTTTACACTTGGAGAGTGAACAGGAAAAAGGAGAGAGAGCAGCCATGCTTGAGAGAGAGAGAAGGGGGGCTGTGAGATCGGAGAATCCGTTGCCATCCAGCTGTGGAGACTGCCCTCCATAATCAGAAATCCCATTGAGTGAAGCTGATGGTGTTCAAGACGCTAATACTGTTCAAAGAGGGGAAGATTTGCTGCCAGAAAGCTGATGAGGACAGAGGAGCAAAGCAACATACACTGCTAATAACATTGCATGATTAGTGGAGAGACTTTTGTTCTGTACAGAGTCATCAGCGGCTGAAATACAGACCCGGGTCGGTAAGATCGTGCACGCACCTCCTTTCAGTGTTGGCGCCTATAAGACTGAGTCCAGGCCTATAGTTAGTTAGTTAGTTAGGGTCTCTGTTTGTGTCAGGCCACAAGTGTTATTGCTGATCATTGGAAGGACTCCACAACTTAAAGTGACATTTCACATTGGAGAGCTGATAAAATCCTACAAACTCAAGCCAGACTGGCGTTTTGTTCAGAAGGAATACTCAGGCACGTGCTATAGGATCAGTTATGGGAGGAGAATACTGTAGATTTGTGTAAGATTGTAAGCTGTTGTGCTGCACCGCAGGCTAGCCCATACCAGACACCCATACACTGATTCCTGCTCTGTAGGGTAATAACGGGTAAGGTGTGGCAGCTTAGTTGTGCCCACCAGTAGGTAAATTACTACACTTTCTACCTTCATCCATCAGGAGGCGCCGTGCTGTGCAGCACAAGGGTCTCAGCCTTTGGGCTGGGTGTATGTAAATATATTATATGTTCCCAGCATTTGTGGTTGTGTTTATCTGCCATATCTAAGTAAAATTCTGTTGTGGCAAAAGCTGGTGTTGGGATTGCTTTCCTCATTTGCGACTTCACTGTATCCTGGGGAGCCCCCATGGTACACGGTTTACACTAGCAACCAACCACCAGCTTGTTAATATGAAAAGTCACTCTGGCAGCTCCCACCCTCCATCCAAAACTATGCTGCCTTCCACTCTCTCCTCTGTGTACACAGGTAGGATACTGCAGTGCTAGGGACACTTCTATGGAAGGGAAGGGGGGGAGGCAGAGGACGCTGCTGGAGGGAGTGACGTGAAGGGGGCCAGGGGTCACTACTGGGGGGGGGGGGGGGGGGGGGGGGGGTAGTGCAGAGAGAGGAGGACATTGCTATAGGCCAGGGGCGGATTGACCATTCGAGCACTTGGGCACTGGGATCAGTAGGGGGCCCCATGAGATGCCCCTGGTAACTTTTATAGGTGTGCTATGAGTATGGGCAAGGACACGGGCCCCATGATCCCCTATTGCCTGGGGGCCCCATGAGATGTCAGTCTGCACCTGCTATGGGCATGGCCTCCCCTATATTCATTTCCTCTACTGCCCTTCACACCACCTGCCCACAGTAGTGTCCTTTTCCCCATAGCAGTGTCCTCTGCCCTCCCTCCCCTCCCATGGACCCTACCCTGGAGCCCTAAGGCAGCTTCCTAAGCAGCCTTATGCTGGCTTTATTTTCCTCCTGCAGCAGCCGAAAGCCACAATACGAGTCATGTCAGTGGTATTCTGTGCTCATCCTGTGTATGGAGATATCACCGTCTCTACACATGGAGGACAATATTGGGGGGTCTACTCCATTATAACATTTGTCTTATAACATTCTATTTCCTGGAGATTTATAAAGTGATGGAATATAAATGATTCCAATAAAGAGAAATTAGTTCCATCCATGTAGAGAATAGTTCCATTCATTCCTGGGGGGGAGTTCATCTTCTTCTGGTAACATTCTTCTCTTCTACAGATTGTCCATTAATCAGCTGACAGACAGTTCCTGCCCCCACCTGGCATCTGGAATAAGAAATAACCCGACACTGAGGACACTGAACCTGTCTGGGAACAATCTGGAGGGTCTTCATTTCAAGGATCTGATGGCGGCTCTGACAACAAGCCGGATAGAGGAATTACAGTGAGTATAACAGGACTGACTGAGACAATCATATTCTGGGAGAGTTTTATATCTAAACCACATAAAATGAAGAGATGATAGTGTAATATATAAAATTAACCTTTAATAAACAACCAATCCCAAACTGGCTCATTCTTGGATCTTATCACACTGTTATCAGTCATGAAATGGTGTTTTCTTAAAGCTGAATTCCACCCAAAAGTGGAAGCTCCGCTTATCTGTCTCCTCTCTCTCCTCCACTGCCACATTTGGCACCTTTTGGGGGGAGCAGGTACCTAGTTTGACCGGTTCCCACTTCCAGCTCAGTTTGCAGAAGTTCGGAACCCCCTGCAGCCCTCTGGGACACTACACAGGTCCCAGAGGACTGCAGTCCATGCACAAAGCAGAGTGCGCTTTGCACAGTAGGAAACCGGATGTGAAGTCACAAAGCTTTACTGCCGGTTTCCCTTAGTCAAGATGGCTGCGCCAGCACCCAACAGCCGATTGAAGAATCAGCTTGGGGTGAGGACACTGCTGGATCCCTGGACAGGTAAGTGCCCTAATATCAAAAGTCAGCAGCTACAGTATTTGTAGCTGCTGACTTTTATGTTTTTTTTTTTCTGGGGGGGGGGGGGGCGAGGGCCGGAACTCTGCTTTAATACCTTCCTCCAATATGATTGTTAGTTTAGTCCATCAGAAGTTATCCTTATTACTACACATCAACCAACTGTGTCTCTCCCCATTACTGCACATCTGTTATTTAAGGTCTGAAATCTCCTCTCTACTTCCTATGAGTACAGAGCTCTTATCAGCAGAGATACATAGAACATCAGATAAAATCCTCCCGTCCAATCACTAGCAATGCTGATTTTGGCCTCACACTGTCTGCTGATCCCATTCATGCCAGTGTTTCCAACCATCCAGTATTTTATGGACTTTTTTAAAAACTGGGCTCTTTTCTCCTGTCTGTAAATGTTCATCACAGAAGAGCGCCCATTAAAAATAAGGCTGTGACTGTCCGCTTAGAACTGTACATGCGCAGTTCCGGAGCTGGCCGACGGACCATCCGAGGCTCTGAGTCCAAGTGCTACTGCTACGGTGTTGGGGCACTGGGGAGCGGGTCTGGTGGAGGTGATGCCTGAGCATGACATCCTGGACTCCTGGTGCATTTTTTGCCACCACTGCCAGTCACCATGAAAACACAACCTTTGTGAACAGAATGGAGCACATCAATAGTATGTAGCTGGCTGTCAGCAGAAACAGATTCTGTGGGAGGAGGGAGTGTGGGAAAAGGGAAAGCACAAAAGTGGTGCTGTGCTGAGGGCTGGTTTGGGAACCTGGGGGCAGGTTGCTGGAATGTGCCGGGCTGTTACTTACAGTCTTCTTTCGAGGAGCTTGGGAGCAGCAGTGTGCAGGGATCCTTGGAGGCAGTTAAAGTTTAAAGTAGAAACCCTGCTGGATGGGATTGGAGAGATTGAGCACTGCACGACTGGGATTGGGCAATACAAGGGAAAGGTCAGAAGTGTGAGGGCACCAGGGGATCAGACACCCGGTGTCCTTGCACTGAACAGCCTGCTCCTGGTGTATGAGGCATCATTTGTAACATTTGTAACATTTAAACCCCTGCTCCAGATAGAATGGTGCCTTCTGGTCTACTACTTCCTGTTTCCTGTATCCTGACTCCTGTGATCCCCTTGCTTGATTCTGACAAACGATTGAACTCCACCTGCACTGACCCGGCTCTCCCTTTGACTATCCGCTTTCCTGCTCCTCTGTACCTGATCTGTTCGATTGATCCTGACCCGGTCTGCCTGACCATTCTACACTGCTTGTAACTATCCTTGGCTACCAGCTGACACGGTCATCCGTATCTCAGCTACACCTCTCTGCTGAACCTGCTCACCTGCATCCTGGTATTCCTGGTCTCCACTTGTCAGCTGTCACTGCAGACCCGTCAGGCACTCGTGATCCTCCCAGCTCGTTACTTCCTGTCTACCCTATCAAGGTTCCTGAACTGGAGTGGTAAGAGGACGCCCTTTCTGCACATCAGGCTCCACCACCAGGTACGTTACAGTACCAGAAGGCCATGTCGGAGCCTGAGAGAGGGGCCTCTCCTCTAGATGAGATTTGTCATCACATCTTGGCACTAACACAGGCCAGCAAGGATCTTCAAGAAGGATACACCCCGCTGGAGAACCGCCTTCAGACCTTACCTGCACCTGTGTTGTCTGATAGGTCTGTAGCAGCTCCTGCTCCCGCTGGTGCTCCCTCCTGCGGTGGTGATGTTACCTCCCAAGCCAAGGGTCCCTACACCGGAAAGATTCTCTGGAGATCGCAGCGCGTTCCGCAACGCATGTGATCTTTATTTCGCTTTACAACCCCGGACCTTTTCCCTTGAAGCAACTAAGGTGGGATTTGTGATTGATTTCTCTGCTCCAGGGAGAACCACAGGCATGGGCCCATCACTTGCTGGAAAAGGAGGATGCCAAGTTAGCCTCCTTTAAACATCTTTTTTGGTTCCATGGCTCAACTGTATGATGACCCCCAGCGAGCTGCATTAATAGAGGCTGCTCTTCATGTACTCCAGCAGGGACGCAGGGCAGTGGCAGATTGCGTCACAGAATTTAGGCGCTGGAGCACCAATACCCATTGGAATGACGCTGCCCTACGTTACCAGTTAAGTCTTGGCCTTGCTGAATCCCTCAAGGATGAACTGGCCCATGTAGGAGTACCCGATACTCTGTAGGAGCTCATTACTCTCTCTATACAAATTGACCATTGTCTTAGGGAGCGTAGATTAGAGAGATCCACTGGACTAAGTCACCCCATTTGGATGCTACCTAGTGCTCCACTGCCAACCAATATGGTGCCTACCAGCTCTGCTACACTTTCCGTAGAGGAACCTGAACCCATGCAAATAGGTCTATTACAAACCTCTTTGACACCCGAAGAATGCCAGCATTGATGCCAGAACAATTTATGCCTCTATTGCGGAGAAGTCGGGCACTATGTGCGGAACTTCAATAATAAACAAAGTGCAGCGCTATAAATATAATGTATATATAATCCCAAGCAAAAACGGATAAAATGAAGTATATCAATATTCCATCTATGGTCCAATAATGAATAAAGTCCCAATATACAGTTGTGTTCAAAATAATATCAGTCAGACATCACTAACCGGATCAATCGCTGTTTTTGGTGGAAATGATAGTTCTACATGGCAAATAATTTACTAGCAGGTGTAGTAGAGTCATAGAAATCCAACAGACCCAACAGTCATGACATGCATGCTGCTGATTCTGTGTAATTGAATCACTAATTGAAAGGGGCATGTTCAAAATAATAGCAGTGTGGAGTTCTATTACTGAGGTCATTCATTCTTTGAAAAACAGGTGGCAATTATTGCCCTTATTTAAGGAAGGAAGGCAGCAAATGTTGTACATGCTGGTTACAGTGCATTTCTCTCTGAAATTCTGAGGAAAATGGGTCGTTCCAGACTCTGTTCAGAAGAACAGCGTACCTTGATTAAAAAGTTCATTGAAGAGGGGAAAACATATAAAGAAGTGCAGAAAATGATCGGCTGCTCAGCTAAAATAATTGCAAATGCTTTAAAATGGCAACCAAAACCTGAAAGACGTGGAAGAAAGCGAAAAACTACCATTGGAATGGATAGAAGAATAGCCAAAATGGGGCGGACTCAGCCAACAATCAGCTCCAGGAAGATGAAAGCAGGTGTGACGTTCCCTGTGAGGACTGTTACAATTAGAAGACGCCGATGTGAAGCCAAGCTATCTGCAAGAAGTCCCCGCAAAGTCCCACTGTTGGGAAAAAGACGTGTGCTGAAGAGGTTACAATCTGCCAAAGAGCACATTGACCGGCCTAAAGAGAAATGGCGCAACATTTTGTGGACTGATAAAAGTAAGATTGTTCTTTTTGGGTCTAGTGGGCGGAGACAGTTTGTCAGACGACCCCAAACACTGAATCCAAGCCACAGTACACTGTGAAGACAGTGAAGCATGGTGGTGCAAGCATCATGATATGGGGATGTTTCTCATACTACGGTGTTGGGCCTATTTATCGCATACCAGGGATCATGGATCAGTTTGAATACATCAGAATACTTGAAGAGGTCATGCTGCCTTATGCTGAAGAGGAAATGCCCTTGAAATGGGTGTTCCAACATACAACGACCCCAAACACACCAGTAAACATGCAACATCTTGGTTCCAGGCCAACAAGATGGACGTTATGGAGTGGCCAACCCAATCCCCGGATCTTCATCCAATAGAAAACTTGTGGGGTGACATCAAAAATGCAGTTTCTGAGGCAAAACCAAGAAATAGAGAAGAACTGTGGAATGTGGTCCAATCATCCTGGGCTGGAATACCTGATCACAGGGGCCAGAAGTTGGGGGACTCCATGCAACACAGATGTACAGCAGTTCTCAGAAACAGTGCGACTACAACCAAATATTCATGAAGTCATTCAAAGGAAAGCAAAATCTTCAAACATTTCTCAGTTTATATAGTGAATGTTTGAGTTTGTAAAGAAGAATACAAACACTGCTACTTTTTTAAACTGTCTAATATTCACTTTTCTTCAATTTTCTTAGAGGAACAACACAAATTTGATATTTTTCTTCATGTGTTGATTTGGAATAGAATGTGTCGTGTTCCCAATGCATTTGTGTGGATGGAAATAAAAGCTATTAGAAGGATTTTGAGCTTTATTCACTTTTTTTTTTTCAACACACTGCTATTATTTTGAACACAACTGTATAATATATGCGATAAAGTGACTCTTGTGCTTTTGTGACTCTGGACCCGGTATTAGTGCAATAATGATAAGGTAATGCGCACTCACCGGACGCGCATGTTATTTGCGCCTTATTTATATAATCCAGATGTCATCAGATAAACAGAAGGTCAGGAGATGGGTGGTCTTCCCTCTAAGGGATGGTGGGTCATCAAATCAGAAACTAAGATGCTGGTGTAGGTAATCCTCTTCCTCCAGGGGTCCCCCTTTCCAAGACCTGTTGTGTCTCTCTAGGTATGTAGATATCCACTAGGGAGTAATGATCCATCCTGGGGTAGTAGGTCTGTGGGCTAAAGAACTCCCCCAGGGGGTAGAAACAGAGATACTCCCCCATAGTGTAGTAAGTATTTAAGGTACTTTATTAAGATGCATCAAAGGTCAAAAAACAGCAGACAGAAATTGATGAGGACTAACCATCTGATAGGTAAGATGGCCGCCAGAGCTCCACGTTGCTCCAGCGGCGTGACGTCACGGCGTGATGTGGCTCCTCCTGACACGTATCGTGCTCAAACACGTCCTCAGAGGGGGGGTTGCCATTTTCCCTCATCTTGCCCCGCCAAGATGCGTAAGTTACCAAATGACTTACCTGCCAGTCCACCTCCCGCTCCCATTAACCATGCTCACATTTCCATTGCTATCTCCTTTCAGCTTTCGGAAAGAGCTCTTCCAGTGTCCGCTATCCTTGACTCCGGAGCTTGCAGCTGTTTTATCGATGTAAACTTTGCCCAGCGACACCAGATACCGTTACGAGCTAAAGCACAGAAACTTACCGTATGCGTTGCTGATGGATCCAACATCAAATCTGGAGCAGTTACCCAGGAAACAATTCCCCTACCGGTCACGATACCATCCTCGGCCACAAGGAACTATTATGTCTAGATGCCATTGCCTCCCCAATATTTCCAGTTATCCTGGGAATCCCCTGGTTACAGGCACATAACCCTAACATCAGTTGGGTATCTGGTGAAGTAAAGTTCCTGTCCTCCTACTGTCATGAGCACTGCCTGCTCCAACCCTTGGCTCCATCCAGACCCCTCCTATGTATTGGCACAGAATCTGAGGCACATCAAATAGTCCCAGTGGCCTATCATAGTTTCCTGGATGTTTTTAGTAAACTTGGTGCCCACTCCTTGCCACCACACAGACCATACGACTGCCCAATCAAGTTACTGCCCGGGGCTGGAATTCCCTTCGGTCGGATTTTCCCTTTGTCAGAGCGAGAATTAGGAGCACTAAAGGAGTACCTCTACGACAGCCTGAGAAAGGGGTTTATCTGCCCATCTACCTCCCTGGCGGGAACTGGCATCTTCTTCGTAGAGAACAAGGATCATTCTCTTCATCCCTGTGTGGACTACCATGAGCTAAACAATATCACCATCAAGAACCGATACCCCTTACCATTGGTTCCAGAACTATTTCAGAGGTTGAGATCTGCAACCCTGTTCACCAAGCTGGATCTAAGGCTTATAACCTGGTACGCATCCGAGAGGGGGAAGACTGCCTTTTGCACCAGATTTGGGCATTTCGAATACCTAGTAATGCCCTTTGGCCTATGCAATGCCCCAGCAACATTCCAACATTTTGTAAATTACATTTTCAGAGTCTTTCTAGACATTTTCGTTATAGTGTACCTTGATGACATTTTAATTTTCTCTGCTTCCCTTGAACTCCACCGAAACCACGTACAGAGAGTCCTCAGCCGCCTAAGACTTCATGGTCTTTACGCCAAGCCCGAGAAGTTTGAATTTGAGCTCCAAAGCATCCAATTCCTTGGATTAATCATTTCCACAGAAGGGTTCGGGATGGATCCTCAGAAGGTTTCTGTCATCTTGAAGTGGCCTGCACCAGCAGACAAAAAGGGAGTACGTTTCATTGGATTTGCAAATTTCTATAGGAGATTCATCAAGGGCTTCTCAGCCATCATAGCTCCTATTAACCAGTTAACCAAGCAGGGCATCTGATTCCATTGAACAACCAAAGCACAAACAGCTTTCGACTCCCTAAAGGAATTATTCACCTCAGTACCCATCCTGAGTCATCCAGATCCTACACTCCCCTTTGTGGTGGAGGTTGATGCATCAGAAAATGCAGTGAGAGCAGTCCTATCACAGCGGCAGGGCCTAAAACTTCTACTACACCCAGTAGCATTTTTTCCCCGCAAATTGTCTCCCCCAGAGAGGAATTATGATGTGGGAGATAGGGAACTGCTGGCAATCAAATCGGCTTTGGAGGAGTGGAGGTATCTCTTGGAAGGAGCAGCACACCCCATCCTAATCTATACAGATCACAAGAACCTAAAATACCTGAAGATGGCTAAGTGTTTAAAACCCCCGGCAGGCAAGGTGGGCACTCTTCTTCTCACGTTTCACTTTCCATATTACCTACAGGCCAGGATCCAAGAATGTTAAACCCGATGCCTTGTTCCGGATGTTCGACGATCCTAATGATCTCCCCATTCCCGACACGGTGCTCTCAGCAGGAAACTTCTTTCTCCTACAAACAGAACTGTTGGCACATGTCCAGCAAGCATCAATGGGAGCTTCCTCACCTCCAGGAGTAACCCTATTGGCTAAAGAGGGCTTATTGTGGTCAGGAGACAAGATTTTTGCACCAGAAAGTGTACGGCTGGAGATCTTAGCGCTATGTCACGATCATCCCCTGGTAGGACACTTTGGAGTCCAAAAGACTCTAGACCTAATACAACGCCACTTCTGGTGGCCTGAATGGGAGAAGGACTGCAAGGCGTACGTAAACTCATGTCCTACATGCATACGAAACGAGCAATAGGAGCAAAACATGGGGACTACTGAGGCCTTTACCAGTCCCCAATCAACCCTGGAAGATGATTTCCATGGATTTCATCATGGAATTACCCCCATCTGAGGGTTGTTCGGCCATCTTCATTGTGGTGGATCGCTTCTCAACGATGGCCCACTTCATTCCTATGAAAGCAGTTCCCTCTGCAACAGAGACGGCCCAAAGTTTTATTAGATAAATGGTAAGTCTTCATGGAGTTCCGAGAAATATTGTCTCCGATCGAGAAGTACAGTTTACCTCAAGATTTTGGAGAGCACTGTGTGAGAAACTAAGAATAGAACTATCATTTTCATCTGCCTGTCATCCCCAGACTAATGGACAAACAGAGAGAACAAACCAGACACTGGAACACTATATCCATTATTTTAAGTCATTTTCTCAGGATGACTGGGTGTCATTCTAAGCACTCAGCTACAAAGCAATCTCCATTCTTCTCAAACAATGGATTCCATCCGTCATTTTTATCCAACACATTACCTGAATCATCGATCCCAGCAGTACAGAATACCTTTGGGTTCCTGCAACGGAACAACAAACTACTACAGGAAGCAATCCTGAAGGCCCAACAAGATAACAAAAAATTTTTTGATAAGAAAAGAAAGGGGGACCTGATCCTAGAGCCTGGTGAAGAGGATGGAATCCTCTGTCTACAACAAATTTAAGATTGACATGTCCCTCAAGGAAACTCAGTCCCAAATTCCTGGGACCTTTCCCAGTAAGAGGATAAACAACATATCGTACAAACTCACTGTGCCTGAACCACTGAAGATACATCCAGTATTTCACGTATCATTACTCAAACCCTCAGTACCTGATCCGTTTCCAGAGCAGAAATCAAAGCCACCTGAATCTGTTATCATCAATGGTGAAAGAGGATATGAGGTGGAAACAATCATTGATTGCAGGAAGAGAAGGAATCAACTCCAATATCTGATCAAATGGAAGGGATATGGACCTTAAGATAATTCTTGGGAGCCAGCATCCAATGTTCACGCCAGAGATTTAATCTTGGCATTTAAAAAGTACCCTGAGAAAATGGCCCAGTTGGGCATCCGGAGGCTGCCCATGAGGGGGGAATGTCAGGGAAGAAGAATGTTGCAGTTGCGCACACGTGCATGTGCTGACGTGCACAGGCGGGCTATTTAAACCCCTGCTACAAACAGAATGGTGCCTTCTGGTCTACTACTTCCTGTTTTCTGTATCCTGACTCCTGTGATCCACTTGCTTGATTCTGACAAATGATTGAACTCCACCTGCACCAACCTGGCTCTCCCTTTGACTATCCGCTTTCCTGCTTCTCTGTACCTGATCCGTCCGATTGATCCTGACCCGGCCTGCCTGACCATTCTACACTGCTTGTGACTATCCTTGGCTACCAGCTGACACGGTCATCCGTATCTCAGCTATACCTCTCTGCTGCACCTGCTCACCTGCATCCTGCTACCTGTATCCTTGTATTCCGGGTCTCCACCTGCCAGCTGTCACCGCAGACCCGTCAGGCACTCGTACCCCTGCCAGCTCGTTACTTCCTGTCTACCCTATCAGGGGTCCCGAACGGGAGTGGTAAGAGGATGCCCTCTCTCCACATCAGGCTTCACCACCAGGTACGTTACAGACCCTACCCTGGAGCCCTAAGGCAGCTTCCTAAGCAGTCTTATGCTGGCTTTATTTTCCTCCTGCAGCAGCCGAAAGCCACAATACGAGTCATGTCAGTGGTATTCTGTGCTCATCCTGTTTTTGGAGATATCACCGTCTCTACACATGGAGGACAATATTGGGGGGTCTACTCCATTATAACATTTGTCTTATAAAATTCTATTTCCTGGAGATTTATAAAGTGATCTAATATAAAGGATTCCAATAAAGAGAAATGAGTTCCATCCATGTAGAGAATAGTTCCATTCATTCCTGGGGGAGGGATTAATTTTCTTCTGGTAACATCCTTCTCTTCTACAGATTGTATAATAATCACCTGACAGACAGTTCCTGCCCCCACCTGGCATCTGGAATAAGAAATAACCCAACACTAAGGACACTGGACCTGTCTAGGAACAATCTGGAGGGTCCTCATTTCAGGGATCTGATGGCGGCTCTGACAACAAGCCGGATAGAGGAATTACGGTAAGTATAACAGGACTGACTGAGACAATTTACAAGGCTTTAGTGCTGGTTTCCCTTAGTCAAGATGGCTGTGCCAGCACCCAACAGCCAAATGAAGAATCGACTTGGGGTGAGGACACTGCTGGATCCCTGGACAGGTAAGTGCCCTAATATCAAAAGTCAGCAGCTACAGTATTTCATCCGAGGCTCTGAGTCCAAGTGCTATTGCTACGGTGTTGGGGCACTGGGGAGCAGGTCTGGTGGAGGTGATGCCTGAGCATGACATCCTGGACTCCTGGTGCATTTTTTGCCACCACTGCCAGTCACCATGAAAACACAACCTTTGCGAACACAATGGAGCACAACAATAGAATGTAGTTGGCTGTCAGCAGAAACAGATTCTGTGGGGGGAGGGAGTGTGGCCATGGGGAAAGCACAAAAGTGGTGCTGTGCTGAGGGCTGGTTTGGGAACCTGGGGGCAGGTTGCTGGAATGTTCCAGGCTGTTGCTTACAGTCTTCTTTCGAGGAGCTTGGGAGCAGCAGTGTGCAGGGATCCATGGAGGCAGTTAAAGTTTGCAAAGTAGAAACCCTGCTGGATGGGATTGGAGAGATTGAGCACTGCACGACTGGGATTGGGCAATACAAGGGAAAAGGTGGGAAGGGTGAGGGCACCAGGGGATCAGACACCCGGTGTCCTTGCACTGAACAGCTTTCTCCTGGTGTGTGAGGCATCACTTGTCACATTGCCATTCTTCTATATAGATACAGGACAGGCAGAAGGAGTATCATTCACTGAAGGGACCTGGCGGGGTGTCTCCAAGAAGACCTTTGGGTAATCTAATGTATTCATTAATTAATGTTAAGACCTGATGTAAAGGGGGACTCTGATGTAAAGGGTAATGCTGCAGACCCTGATGTAAGTGGGAATGCTGATGTAAGGGGAAAATCTGTGGGCTCGCTGGTGACCAGAGACCCCATTACATCAGAATTCCCTTTACACGATGGTCTGCAGCATTCCTCCTCGCATCAGAGTCCACAGAGTTTCCCTTTACATTAGTGTCTGCAGAGTTCCCCCCTTACCCTGCGGACACTGATGTAAACGTGAACTCTGTAAGGGAGAACTTTGTGTACTGTGATGCAAAGGGGAACTCTGGAGTCTGATGTAGGGGGAAATCTGTGGACTGTGATGTAAAGGGGAGCTGTTTTGGGGATCCTCCAGATCACCAAAACAGCAGATAAGGATCTTCCCAACAATGGACCTTAGTTAGGGTAGCAAGCCATTCAGGATGAGGCTTGGACTTGTAGTGGGAAACATGCATAGAAAGAGCGCTCCACATAGTGTAAATCCATAATCACAACATTTATTTAAAATATGGTTGCGCTCACATGTAAGCAAACAGCATTAGGCACTGATTGGCAAAAAAAGTCCAAATTTTACAGTTTTCAAAATGGCCGCCGACCGTTTGCGAATACGCAGGAGCGTGTGTGCGTGGCTCCACCCACGCACACACGCTACTGCCTCCACCTTTCTGGTAAGCCTTCTGTAGTAGTGGTTGGTGACACCACAACTGTCCTTGGATTTCTTTTGTTTAAGAAAAGAGCTTTTATTCCATATAAAAATGAAGGAACGCGATCATCGTTTAAACATTACAAAGAATATAACAGAATATGCAAAAAGGTCATAAAAAAGATAGCAGGACCAACCCCAAAAAATTCTTCAAATATATTAATAGTAAAAAGGTTTGGTCCGAGCATGTAGGCCCTTTACAAAATAATCTAGAGGGGGTGACTGAGGACAGAGAGAAGGTAAATTTATTTAATACCTTCTTCAGCTCTGTGTATACAAAGGAGCACGGGGGGTGGGGGCTCTTGTCCATAATGGGGGTGGTACTGACACAGCTCCAGATGATCCATATTGGCTCACAATTGATATGGTCCAGAAATATTTAGACAGAATAAAGGTGAATAAAGCGCCTGGACCGGATGGCAGACACCCACGGGGTCCTTAAAGAATTCAGCTCTGTCATCTCACAGCCATTGTTTCTAATTTTTAGGGACTCTTTAATGACTGGCATAGTACCACTGGATTGGTGTAAGGCCAATGTGGGGCCAATATTTAAAAAGAGGTCCAAATCTTTACCAAGTAATTATAAACCTGTTAATGTAACTTCTATAGTTGGGAAGATACTGGAGAGTTTAATAAAAGACCACAGAGAGGAGTTCTTAATGGGAAAAAATATTTTAAGCAACAGACAGCATGGATTCATGAAAGACAGAAGTTGTCAAACAAATCTGATTTCTTTTTATGAGGGGCTGAGCAAGACCTTGGACAGAGGGGTGGCAGTGGACGTGGTATACTTGGACAGAGGGGTGGCGGTGGATGTGGTATACTTGGACAGAGGGGTGGTGGTGGACGTGGTATACTTGGACAGAGGGGTGGCGGTGGACGTGGTATACTTGGACAGAGTGGTGGACGTGGTATACTTGGACATGGACGTGGTATACTTGGACAGAGGGGTGGCGGTGGACGTGGTATACTTGAATTTTGCAAAAGCGTTTGACACAGTTCCCCACACACGGCTAATGTGTAAGGTAAAGTCTATAGGCTGGAAAAATCTGTATGTAAATGAGTAGAAAACTGGCTAAAAGATCGTATTCAGAGAGTAGTGTTAATGATTCATACTCTGAATGGTCTGGGGTCATCAGTGGTGTACCCCAAGGTTCAGTGTTATTAGTGGGGTACCCTAAGGTTCAGTGTTGGGACTCTTACTTTTTAATATATTTATAAATGATATCGGGTCTGGGATTATAAATCCCATTTCAGTCTTTGCAGATGACACCAAGCTGTACCGGGGAATAACGTCCTTACAGGATGTCTCCAACTTACAAGCTGACCTCAATGCTCTGTGTAATTGGGGGACTATGGGGCCAATGAGGTTTAATGTTGATAAATGTAAGGTTCTGCACTTGGGGGTTAAGATGCATGCATCGTGCATACTGGGGGGGGAGGGGGGGGTACAACTGGGGGAATCAATGGTGGAGAAGGATTTGGGGGGGTCAATGGTGGAGAAAGGATCTGGGGGTTCTGGTAGATCACAAGCTTAATAATGGCAGCAATGCCAAGCTGCGGGTTCTAAAGCGAGCAAAATCCTCTCTTGTATTAAAAGAGGTATAGACTCCAGAGAAAGAGAGAGATATCATATTACCCCCCCCCCCCCCACCCCCGACACAAATCATTAGTAAAACCTCATCTGGAATATGCAGTTCAGTTTGGGGCACTGATTCACAAAAAGAACATTGGGGAACTGGAGAAAGTAAAGAGAAGGGAAACTACACTGATAAGAGGCATGGAGGAGATCAGCTATGAGGAAAGGTTAGAGGAACTGAATTTATTCTCTACTGAGAAGAGGAGATTAAGGGGGCATGATGGAGACATATAATACATAAGGGGGGATATGATCTCCATGTATAATACATAAGGGGGGATATGATCTCCATGTATAATACATAAGGGGGATATGATCACCATGTATAATACATAAGGGGGATATGATCTCCATGTATAATACATAAGGGGGGATATGATCTCCATGTATAATACATAAGGGGGGGATATGATCTCCATGTATATAATACATAAGGGGGGATATGATCTCCATGTATAATACATAAGGGGGGGATATGATCTCCATGTAGAATACATAAGGGGGGATATGATCTCCATGTATAATACATAAGGGGGGGGGTATGATCTCCATGTATAATACATAAGGGGGGTATGATCTCCATGTATAATACATAAGGGGGGATAAGATCTCCATGTATAATACATAAGGGGGGATATGATCTCCATGTATAATACATAAGGGGGGATATGATCTCCATGTATAATACATAAGGGGGGATATGATCACCATGTATAATACATAAGGGGGGGGGATATGATCTCCATGTATAATACATAAGGGGGGGATATGATCTCCATGTATAATACATAAGGGGGGATATGATCTCCATGTATAATACATAAGGGGGATATGATCTCCATGTATAATACATAAGGGGGGATATGATCTCCATGTTATAATACATAAGGGGGGTATGATCTCCATGTATAATACATAAGGGGGGGATATGATCTCCATGTATAATACATAAGGGGGGATATGATCTCCATGTATAATACATAAGGGGGGGATATGATCTCCATGTATAATACATAAGGGGGGATATGATCTCCATGTATAATACATAAGAAGGGGGATATGATCACCATGTACAAATACATCAGTGGTTCATATAGTGAACTCTGTGTAGTTATTCCCCCTGGGGTCATCACAGAGGACAAGGGGGTTCTCTTTACGTCTGGAGGAAAAGAAATGTAATCTCCAAACATGGAAAGGTTTTCTTCACAGTAAGAGCTGTGAGAATGTGGAATAGACTCCCTCCAGAGTTGGTTGTGACCAGCTCAGTGGATTGCTGTAGGAAAGTCCTGGATTCTTTCTTAGATACACAGAATATAACTGGATATAACATTTATAGGGAAAGTTTATCCAGGGAATATCGGATTGCCTTTCGGGGGATCAGGAAGGAATTTTTTTCCCCAGCAGGTACAAATTGGATCGTGCTTTGCTGGGTTTTTTTTTTTGCCTTCCTCTGGATCAACTGTGGGTGTAGGATTATAACTTTTTTTTTTCTATGGTTGAACTGGTTGGACTTTTGTCTTTTTTCAGCCGGACTAACTATGTAACTATCACAGCCTCTGGGACTTTTCTTTTATTTTTGGATGGACTATTTTTATGACACATTTTTCACTGTTTTCTTATGATTATTTGTAACTTTTTAAGCGCTGCACTTTTATGTATATATTGTTGATTGCCTAATATCAGGATTTTTGTGTTCAACTGCTATATGCTTAACACCTTATTATTGATTAATGTGGTTCTTATTAGCGCAGGTTATATATATATATATAGCTATAGGTTCAGCATCCAGCTGAATCTGGTGACACCTCCGATTAT